GTTTCTTTTTTCAGTTTCTTAATCCTATACACATTCGGTAGGACTCATTGAACGGGGGATGAGCCAGTCGCAAGACCGCTGTGTATACACGCAACAACACAAACAGAGCACAAACGCACACAGACATCCATGCCTCGAGTGGGATTCGAACCCACGATCCCAGTGTTTGAGCGAACGAAAACGGTTCACGCCTTAGACCGCGCGGCCGCTTGCACCCTTAAGGTTCCGTTGCGTATGTATGAACCTATTGCGACAGTTGCTCGCCTTCGAAATATTACCTCATAAGTTACAACATATTAAAACCTGGAACTGACCTACAACAAAGGAAGAGGAAGAAACTTTGGTCAGTATTAATGTGTGCTGTGAATGCATACATTATTTACTGCAACTGACGCTTTGGTGCTCCATCTGATCAGAAGTCACTGCCAAATTCAAGACTGTTTTATTCAACATTACCACCCACAATAAATTTCTAAATATAAATTTATTTAGCGATATTTGTTAAGCATTCTCCTAATACAAAACTATATTTCATATGAGAATCTACTTTATCTTTTGAGTATCCTAGTCTTACCAGCAGACGTATTCTCCTTGGCTGCAACAAAGAATGGCAGTGTTGGGTGCATGGATAAAGTAAGACTTGTCTTTGTGTTGGCAGTTCAGTTGTACCTACTGTATGTATGTTCTTTATTAAGATTCGTGTAATTTCTTTTAACATGTACTGGACTATGACTAAAGGAGGAACAACCTATGGTAAGTGTTAAGCAGATGAGGTGTTTAGTTGATATTACAAGAAACTCCACTGACTGAAACACTTCTTCACACAACACAAACTCTTACGCTTTATATTTCAGACGTAGAACACAGAGATGTACTCATTCAAGGAAATAGCGAGAATGTAGAAGAAAGGACAGAGAAAAATGAACGCCAGTTAGAAGTTTGTCTTAGATTTGCATCGTAGCGTTTTGTCCGTGAGTTTGGCGGTACACCGAGGGAAAAGTCTGAGAACACAGCCTTGGCCAGTGTATATGCCACGGCCTGCTGTGACGTGTAGGTGGAAGCGAGGTACGGGTTTCAGTTTGGCAAGCTATTCCGAGATTTGGGGTGTTTAAACGGAGACTGGTTGAATGGTCCCCCCGGTTCTCTGCATATATCACTGTAGAACTAGTACACGTGGACAGTCACGTCTGATTTCGGCTGTAGACCACTGGCGACCTATTTTTTTTTTTTTTGCATGTATTTTCATGCCTGAACTACAAGCAGTCTATGGACAGACACTACACAGATGGGAAAATTCGCCCTGAATATCTGCGTAACTTTGGCCGCTTTGTCTGCAAGCCAGTAATTCCAGCCACGGCTTCTTTCGTGAATAATAAATGTAACCGTGACCGCATTCAGAAACAGTAACTTTCGTTATCACCATACAAGAGCACAATTGTTGTGCCCTGATAGGGGTCAGCGACTGTACTCACCCACTATCGGACGTTCGTAGATAACTCTTAACCTGTGCGGTAGAAAACATGCTTGCACTAGGGGGATCCACAAATAACTCGAGTACTCGCCAACAACAATAAAGTAAGATATAATGAAATAAAACACAATTACAAGAAACAACCTATCCCCTGGTAGACTTGAAAGGATACTGACGATGGTGTATACTGTACTGTACAGTCCAAAATAAGCCAAAAGAAACATATCCCCTGTTTCACACTTCCTACAATTTAACTACTCATAATATGCTTAACCTAAAATGGCACAAACCAACACCTTTTATTCCTTTTTTAACCACCAATGAACCAGAATTTCTAACAGTGACCCGACCACGGGCAAGTACTCACTCGCGCTGAACATGATGCACATGAAAAACACTGGCGCCATCCAAAGGTTTTCCACAGGCACACTTTGCTGTAGTGGATCCATTTCTCGCAACTGCTAGAAACAGAGTGTCTGAAACGGCCTTTTTTTTCAGTTCAAAAATTAAACTTTTTTCCCAAGTCGCGAAGGCTGCTCGCGCGAAATCCCTTAGATCGGCAACTTGCTGGACATTCCCTGTCGCGCGAAGCGAAACCTGGCCGGGTCTTTCCACTGATGCGTAAACAGTGTTTTCTAAAGGAAATTCAATCGACTGACAAAGAATGTGAAGAGGCAGCCGCGGCTCTGTCTCCTCGCCTTCCGGCCTGCCGTCCGGCGTTTTAACCTAAGCATCCAATCTTACAAAAATCATACTTAATATCTAATAAAATTGGCACAACACAATCTCTGTTCTTGCAGTTTTGTGAACAGACTTTCCCGTCACCGCGTTCTTAGTACAAAGCAATTAGTCCTGATCACATTCACAAACAACAATTTTTTTTTGTAGTCTGGTTCATGAGCAACAGATTTTGTCATGGCAAAATTCATAAACAGAGGAATTTACCTCGGCCGTATTCATGTACAACAGAGAGACTGTCATGGTCACATTGCTGAACACCAAGTTTTCGCTGGCAACATTCGTGTACAGTAACCACGTTGTGAGTTCATTCATAAAGAATTAAACCTGCCTTGGTTGCATTCACGAAGAACAAATTATCGTGAGCACATTCATGAACCAAAATGTTTCACCGCTGAAATCGAGCAATGTCGGTCTCTTCCAAATTTGTTAGAAAAACAGAAGAGGTTAATAGATTCAGTTTTCTCAATTTTATTATTTCTCGCAGCATCTTACAATACATTTTATCTTTCATTATATTTCGTCTCTCCTAGGTATGATTAAAAACCGTTCAATTTATTATTATTATTATTATGTAATTACTTCTGTCTGCACTGTGCTGTGTTTGTAATTGGCCTTGTGGCTGTTAGCTTGGTACATAAATATGTACATGATACAGTATGATATTTTCCGCCTCTAGAATTGTCCCCAGTTTCGAATGATGATATAAGTAAAGCAACATTTCAAGGAGTTTCGCAAAGAACAACTTGACATCGAGGGGAGCAATGAAAAAGTTCAGGAACCGCTGGTAGAGAGGACTAATGGAACGTTACCGTGTCTCACGGTGTTGTCGCTTGCAGATTTACCTATACTTTTTCTTCAACCCTGAAGATGGGGGCGATACGTTCCTCCGAAACGTCGGTTAACACCACATATACACGGCGCCAAAGCCCAGAAGACTGCTTTCTTCATAGTCACCGCCGTGAAAGCCTCAAATCTAACAATCAGTGTGTTTGCAATACTAATTAGGAACTTCTGGCACTGATCACACAGTACCCAGTTCCTGCACAAGGCAAAATAAGTAGTAGTAGTAGTAGTAGTAGTAGTAGTAGTAGTAGTAGTAGTAGTAGTAGTAGTAGTAGTAGTAGTAGTAGTAGTAGTAGTAGTAATTTTTTGTAGGTTCTGTGAAAATGGGGTAGAATTAAGTTTTAAAAACTCCAGCCCCTAAGAATTTCGGATTTTCTACCACACTACCTCTACCGAAAACTACTAGTTATAATAAAAATTTGGTTTCTAGCTCCAAGAAAACCGGTTGAATTCGTTATCAGAATTATTGTTTTGATGGTGGAAAGGAAAGTGAGCGTTGTTTAGTCTAAGGCTGAGAAGGCATAAACAAAATGTAAGTCCATTAGCCTTCAGCGCGGTTGGTTCCGCAGGATTCACCGTCTGTAAGGGGCTGTACGCTGAGTACGTATGAGATAGTGAAGTGTGTGCTCGGGCATGAGGCCACAGCTTCTTTGCGGCGCGGCAACTCACAACTCGACTAGAAGAATGTGTCACTGTTGTCAGAATTCATTGTTGTACATTGCGAAAGCCGAAACGAGAAATACTGCGGTATTCGAGCATTGTTCTTAAACCAAATGTACAAGTGGCGACGGGCCTGGCCAACATGTGTCAGTAAGTGCAGTTGTTTAGCCAGGCATTCCGACGGGTAATTTGGTATTTATGGTCATTTACTCTTTCTTTATTTACCTGTGGCTAGATTGGGAGCCGAGATAGCGCAGTCGGTAAAGCGACTGGCTACGGGCTGGACGACCGAGGAGTTGGAGTTCGAGTCCCGGTAAGGTCAAGAATTTTCTCTTCTCCACGTCGTCCAGACCGGCTCTGGGGCCCACTCGGCCTCGTATCCAATGAGTACAGGGGGCTCTTTCCCCGGCGGTAAAGTGGCCGGAGCGTGAAGCTGGCCACTCACCTCCAACTAGTGCCGAGGTCACGAAAACGTGGATATATACATCCACTACCCCATACACTTTAATGGCATAGTGCTTAATTAGGTAAGCACAGGGAAAACTTTAATTTTACCTGTGGTTAGATTAACTGTCAGTATCTCGAATTATACAGCCTCGTGTGATGGACGAACAGTAAATAGTGGATTGGAAAAGGGGCGAAGAACACGGCCGTGGCCTGATTTGAGGCAATATACCGACATCTGCATGGAGGGAGTGAGGAAAATCAGGATATACAGTCTCTCGGCAGAGATCTGAATTCTGGTCTCCTGAATACGAAGCAGAGGCGCCATCCACACAGTTAGTCACTGTAGCTAGTCAAGTTAATTAGTCACGTTCGTAAGCAAATTTCCCTCTAAGCCGGGGATGCAAGTGCGCGAAACCATGGTGTGTTCTGAGCAGCAGTCGAGTTGGCTTGGGCAGTCCGAGGGGGGGCAGCGATTTTCGAAAAATAATCCATAACAGGCGTTATATTTATGTCATAAGCTTCCAAAAGTGCCTGAGACTCGCGTGAGGGTGTGAGACAGCCGCTGCGCGGCCGCGCATGCGCTGCTGTTAGAGGGAATATTGCTCGACAGTCATGAAGTTACTGTTAATGGTAAGTTAGTGGATCAGTCGTACCGATACTTAATCACTTACATAATGAGTAGGTTATTTACTGGCTGCAGATGAGTTCAGTTCTTTTCAGTGTGTTTAAGTGTATTTTTTTTTTTACGATTGCAAGAAATAAGTACAATGGATTGTTGTGCACACAGCACTTAGCTGTATGAGGTGGTGTGTACATACATATGTCTGTGTGCTGCCAGAGTGGGTCCTGTGAGAGTCTCATGTCGCCGGGAGATCGGATGGCAGGCAGCGTACCCGGCCTCCTTGACACTCTGTCCTGTGGGTCCACGGCAGACATCAGCTTCGGGGATAGAGAGCCTAGCATTCCTCATATCGTGCAGGCCTGTTTTCGCCATCTGCAGAATTTCGGCCTCCACACCCTGGGCATATTCCGAGTCAGCAGCTCCAAGAAAAGGGTCAGACAGGTAGGTACAGGAACTAAGTGATTTGGCCGTCAGGGACCTCGCTATGTACTTATCGGAGAGAAATAAGTTTTAAATAAAGGTTATAAACAAAACTGGCTCACACATTTGATGGCCCGTAAACTTTCTCCGTAAGTCTTGAAATTGGGGATGTTACAGAATATTTTCGAACTTTCATATTCTACAAACAACCATGGCCTCCAGGACACAGTCGCAGTTGAGGAGGAAGAAAATAAAATCTATATATATTGATTTATGCTGCTTTAAAGTCAGGATTTTAATTCTTTTAATGTAATGCTCTAGTAGAGCAAAACTTTGAAGCATATACTAAACGGTTCGCAGTCTGTTCTTCATTTCCGTATAGAATGTGTCGTAAAGATTGAAACGTACATATCTACTGTTTACTCATTCAGTAGCTCTGTGTAGTTTTGACGTCTCGCCAATTTAGTATCATCACGTAACAGTGACAAGTTTAATGTGAATTTAATATTTGTTAATAATAAGCGAAGAGTTCACCGTAATAGTAGTCAATTTATATGTGATTCCTGCCGTCGACCACTGCTCTTAGTGTGCATTGTATACTTCAATAAACCCCTTTATTTCTTGCTGAATTTCTTATTTTTCCCTCTCGGTTCTTTAAATAAATTTCTTCACTGCCGAGACTACATAACTTTCCGTGATCCATCAATGATGAACTGGAAAGGATATGGAAGGTATCGGCCTGGATGGACTGAAGTAAACCACGGAGAACATCAGTCAGGATATACGGTGTCCAGCTGATATCCGAAGTAAGCAACTCACGAATACAAGTCCAGAGGTTTAGCTCAGGTCAATCTCTTAGGTGAATCTCCCTTGTCATTATTAGAGTCAATTTTACAGACTACACAACACGTAGTAAGGCGTGAGCCTGAATAAGATACAGAGTCGAATAAGTGGAAAAACGAATGTGATTGCGTGTAATTATACAGTTGTTCGTACACCTGAGGATGACCTCTTGAGGTCGAAACATGTAGTGTAATAATAATAAAAACGTGTTGTGTAGTCGGTAAAATTGACTCTAATATTGATTAAATACGCAACAGGATGCAAGAAACAATTAAACTCCCTTGTCATTCTCTGGAAATTATACCTGAAACATTTCGAAATTGTATAGGCCTACTTACTCTGTATTAGTGCTGTAACATAACTGAGGCGGACAGTCACAAGTCTCTTCCCCCAGAGGCCCGGGTTCAGTCTCAGAGCAGTTAATGTTGGATTTGTGGTGGACAGAGCGACACCGCAGCAAATTCTTCTCCATGTACTTGGCTTTCCCCTTGCAGTAATGGTCCACCCTGTGATCCACCACCCGGGCCCATTTGCGGCCGAAATATCAAGGAACTCTGTCTAACCCAATCACAAGAATAAATAACTTAAATGTATTACATTAAAGTGGTCAGATCGAGGAGGTTGAGATGAATGGGACATGTGGCATACAACTGAGGGAAACAGCCCTTGGATCATCTAGGCATAGGTGTGACGGTAATGATAAAAGGGTCATTAAAATACGTTATGTGGATATGGGATGGATGGAAATGGCTCAGGACGGGGATTAGCGGTGGGATGCCGTGAACTAGACAATTGACCGTCAAGTCCCATAAAAAGCGCGTAATTTGTCGACAACCTGGACCATTCTCAATTCCTAAAGGAACACTTCCCTACAAGAACGCTGCATACTTATTTCCGATTCTGTTGCAGGATTCTTTCGCGATGTGGTTATATAAGTTATTTTGTATTATACATATCATAAGGCTTACTTAGATAATTTTTGGTTATATTATCCTTCGGCGTATAAAATCACGTCTGCATAATCTTTATTATCACATTCCCACATAACAAATTAATGTACAAATACGTAACTTGGGCCGTTGTATTCTAGTTCTTTCCAGTTCTCTTGGAGCAGAGAACAAACATGCCAGCTCTTGTGGAATTCTAAAATGTTTAGAAGTTTTACTTCATCTGCTTTAGAAAGGAACAAAGTCAAGGAATATAATATGTCTTCTGTTCTACCAAATAAACGAGAGATCTGCATGTCAGTTATAGTACAGACCGGTCAATGTGAACCTAATGGCAGAAACAGTCACGTAAATACAGCTGAAGTTCCAGTACCCATATATCAACAGCATGATGAAAGGCAAGGAAAGCGTATGCAACTCAGTGAGTGGTTCTAGCTTCTTTATTGTGTGATTGTGCCGTGCAGCTTTCGATTTGACTTGTTTATCATTTCTTGCATGAAGTATTCGCATTATATTTATACCCTTCATCCTGTTTTCGAATGAGAAGCTCCGGTTCCAGCATACTGAATTCAAGTGAAGGCACCCAGAACTTCTGCTATGAGATTTACTGCCTGTCCTGAACCGTGACAACACTAGTCATTAAGATAAGATATCCGAATTAATTCTTAATTTTATATTTAAGAATTTCGTTATGTTTATACACAAGGTTCAATCTGATTCGAGGCCCTTTAAAACTAACAAGGAAATTTGACGCCCTTTAGTCTTGTAGAAATTTGACGACGTTTCGAAGGAACATATTTCTACCACTTTCAGAGCAGTCTGTGTCATTTGTCTGTCATTCTAGCTTCGTGAAGACTTCGACTGTGGAAAGGAAATAAGTCTTGGAGAGGACCACTGCCCACATGATGTGGCAACATTGCTCAAAGAATTCTTCAGGGACTTGCCTGAGCCTCTGCTCTGCAGGGATCTTTATCAAGCGTTTGTTCAAACACAAAGTAAGAATCATTGAATTAATGTAATGTATACATGCAGTACATCTAATAAAGATGAAATTTCTATGAGTGGAAACAGCTCAGCAGGACACAGTTGATGACCAAATGAAAAGTTGTGAAGACTGGAATTAAAAATCCCAATACAGGGCATTAACTACTGACATTATACACAATACAGGAAATTCCAGTGTAGTGTTACCATATGGCAGCTGTTTGCACTTCATTGTTTGATGTTGTAAATATTGTATGGGCGTTAATGGCAGGAATTTTAAAAATATCCAATTCGAACAGCTTTATGGCATTTCTATATGCCAACTTTCACTTGCTGTTATAGTTTTCTGCTATTAACATGCTATAAATAGAAGATAAAAGCACAGAAGAAGGTGTGAACATTATTCTGGATAGCCTATAATTAGCCTGATTTTCATACCTTGACAGTAATAAAGAACTCATCAATTTACAATAGGAAATAATATGATAATATGCCATAAGAGTCATATCCACAGGACGCCTATCCTGGTTCTTACCACTTCTTCCATACTCGTTTTACTTTTTGGCCATGAAGACAGAGGCAGTATGTTCATCTGCGGCTTCAGTAAACTGCCATCAGCCTGTACATGTATAACATCACAGCATCACATCTCAGACACGGTATTCTTCTGGAGAATTTATATCAGGCATAATGAAATTATGCGTGCTCTTCAAAAGTGGAATTTTAAGGGATTATAGTGAAACGTTGTTGTTGTGTTTCAGAGATACGAAATAGGCGCCTGCAATTTGAAGCTCTTCAGCATCTCATTCAACTGCTTCCAGTTCCAAACAGAGACACTCTGTCAGCTCTGCTGAACTTCCTTGTGACTGTTGCTCGCAATGCTGGGGACTACAAAGATGAAACAGGCAATGTCAAATAAACCACTTGTAGAGGGCTCTGATGAAGGCATATCAGAGTTCTGTTCTTTTAGAATATCATGGGATGTGGGATAGTTCAGTTTGTGTAGTGACAAGCTATGGGCTGGACAGCAGGGGTAAAAAAGTTTTGTCTGGGGTGTATCAAGCCTCCTATGCAATGGGTGGAAGGGGGTAGGAGTGTAAAGCTGTCCAGGCGTGAAACTAACTACTCACTCTCTCATGTGCTAAGATCAAGGATGGTGGAGAAGTACTTCCTTCTCCCATATATCTTCATGGCCTGGTGGTAAATTAATCAAGCACAGGGACAATGAACTAAATTTACTTGAAATGAGAAATTAATTTCAATATAATTAGGAATAGAAAAATGACTATTAGAACCACAAGAACTTGCAACACCCACACAATTCTGCTATCACAGCATGCAAAGTACAGCCCACTTTTCAGTTCATGATAACTTTTCTATATAAATGGATGGGGTTAGTCCCCTCACCCGTGCTGAATGATGTAATTTGTGGCTTTTATTGAGGAACTAACACAGGAATAATACTGTGCATAATCCCTTAGAAAATGGAAAATAATTACACAACTGTGAATCTTTTGAAAATAAATAGTAAAATCAAGATGACATAAAGTACTCTGGTTAATAGTTATAATTACAGAATTCCAAGAAGACTGCAAAATTCATCCTGATACCACTTTTTCCTTTCAATTTGAGTGACATTGATTTCAGAAATTATTCAGTAATGTTACGTTATCCATCATATTATATATTACAGGAGAGTGTATGTCTGGGAGCAAGATGGATTCCAACAACCTGGCAACAGTATTTGCACCAAATATACTTCACTGCATAAAACCAGGAAGTAACAAAGAACTGAGTACAGAGCGAGCAGAGGAAAGGATTGATGTCATCAATGTCATCAGAAGCATGATTGACCACAATAAAGAACTCTTCCAGGTACTCACAAGCCAGCAGAAGTAATTTCTTATGCCTCTCTTACTTGCACAGTGTTTAAGCTAAGAAAAAGTGGCTTATTTTAGGTCATTTATGTTTCTATCAACATAGGAAGATTCACTGATAGATTACATTATGTTATGCTAGTTAAGTTAATTTTTTGTTAATTAGTGTTATGTTCTTACTGAAAACAGCAAACCACTCCTTTTACCTGTTATTTTACATCAATTTGAAACATGGTCTCTTACATTCAGTGAACAACATAAAATATTTTGAAATGGAAGAAAGAAAATATTTGGTCCTGTGGGGATGAATTCAGTGGGCAATAAAGTAAAGTTTTCTTGACTTTATATGCCCTTCATCCCACTTTGTGAAATGAAGGAAATGTGGGTTTCTGGGATGTGAAGTGTACTTTGGTAGATAGCCACCAATTTTTCGAAGGAACCTGTTACTTCCATTTTCAAGGTGGCAGATAGTGGCTGCAAGTTCTTCCAAACTTTCTATACGTATCTACCCACTTACGTGGAATCACAGTCCACAAAATGTATGTTAATAATCTCTGCTGTGAGTAACTCAAATCTCAAAAAACCAGGGGCGTGTAATTGGCTGGATATATAGCTCAGATGAGCAAATGAGAAATCTATACAGAACATTTGTGCAAGATGGCCATGAAAGTGGAAACTTTGAAGACTTATGAGAAGATGGAAGGATAATATTAAAATTGATATTATATAAACAGATTTTGAGGAAGTGAACTTGACTATTTGAAGTTTTGATGCTAATAGTGTCCTGATTCTTTTTAATAAGAGAGATATGTGTCCAATCTAGAATGGTAATTTGTATAAAATTGTGATTTTTTAAAATCAGCCTTTATGATTTTCAGCATATGTTATTTATGTATATAAAATCACGCACAACAATATTTTGACATGATGGCTGAAAGCCAGAATAGTGAGGTGAGGAGCTGTGGCTATTGCTAGTCAATGGCATGGTAAACATGTGTCCACAGCATCAAATAAACGTGCAACAATTGAGTAATTGTTGTAAGCGGTGTTTTCTATGCAGTCAATGCAAAGGTTATGTAGCGAAGACTACCAAGGTCAACAGTCAGCCAGAGGTTGAAGTCTGTGGTTAGCAGGCAATCTTGAGTTGCTTTGTTAGCAACCATTATCCAGCAAGGATTAGTGACAACATAATAACAGAAGAACAACTGTAGTTGTTGAGATCTATAGAGTGTAAATTAGTGAAACTTTATAGTTATTTTGACTTACAAGTTATAAGCATTCAGTAAATCAAATTATCAATCCAAATACCGCATCTGTTTACTAACATTTGACAATAAGTAGGCCAACTTCAATGTCTTCTTGTTTTCTGGGTTTAAGCAACATGTTCGCACCACCTCAAAACCCTTTCTCCAGAATTTGGTGTAATTCTGCTTTCCTCCATTCTAGCTACAAATTCTTTCCATCTCTTTCATTAAGGCAGTGCTTATTATGTATAATTCTGTATATCCAGCTGATGGCTCCTAAATTTCCCATTTCTGTGACTTACATTCAGCTTTTCTCTCTGTCACTCCATTTGCATATTTCAGTTCTGTATTTTACCACTTTATGTTACAAATATAATTGTCTTACAGTCAAGAGCGTTACTTTTTCTCTAGATATGGAGTGAAGAATAATAAATCATGTGTAATGAATTCTCAACTGTTTATATACTTATTGAAACAAAGCTTCTTTGTAACAGGTTCCAGCAGAACTGTTGGATGAAGTTTATCTTCACATGATGGACAGCCATCCTGATGCACTAGATCACTTATTGAGGAAGAGAGGCAATCTTGGGGACGAGTAAGTATAAATTTGGTTGTGCCATAGCTCAAGCGGTTAGTTGCTGGCTTCCTACTGTGGTGGCCTGGGTTCAATCCCGGTTCTGGTGAAGTGGGATTTGTGATGGACAAAGTGGTGCTTGGGCGGGTTTTCTCCGAGTACTTCAGTTTCCCCTGCCAATCTTCATTCCACCAAATCCTCCATCATCATAATCACCCGGGGCAGGCTACAAATGGCCAATCAGTGGCTGCTGTGCCAAGTGGACCCAGTTGGAGTCCACCCCCTACTAAGCAAATTAAAAAAAAAAAGTATAAATTTGCTGAGGGTCACTGTAATTGTAACAATATCAAGGCAATACTTTTAGATTTTATTGCATTTGTGTATGTTGCCTGCCACTGATAATGTAGCTATAATGAAGCCACAGAAAGAAGTCTTATGGATGGTGGGGCTGATGGAACTAAAGGATTCCCTTTTCCTGCATACTTTTGTTCTCCCCTCCAGCACCCTTTGACCTGGCCAGCCAGCTCAAAGCTTCTGTCACTAATAAACATTATCATGTGATATTCCTGGCAATCCTGTGACAGGATAAGAATACAGAGAATAATTTTAGAGGGAAAAGTGTAACAGCTGAAAGGAGATGTGTAAGGGATGAATCAGTGGCACTTCTTTCTTTGGCTTCAGTATAGGTACTTATAATTTTCTAAACTGGGTAAAAATAAAAGGCCCTCAAATAATTAAGCATCATGCTATGAAGATATAGGTTCCCCATTGACCTTGGCACCAGATGGATGTCAGTGGTCAGTTTCAAACTCTGGCCCCTTTTATCCCCAGGAAAAAAAAAAAATATGGTGCTTATTATACTATAGATGGCTGGATGGACCCCAGAGCCTGTCTGGATGCTGTGGAGAAGAGAAAGATCTCTTGCCCCTACTGGCAATGGAACCCCAGTTCCTTAGCTACCCAGCCTGTAACCTGCTGATATATCAATTAAGATATCCTGGCTCTCTAGTTGAATAAATTGGGTGTGATTAGCTAATCAGAGTTACACTTGATGATCCAAAGTTAGCTGGGTCATATTTTCCAAAATGCAGAGTGACAAGCAATGCCTTTCAAACTATCTGCATGACTCTGTTGTTATTCTGAGGATTTTGGTGCAGTTTGATAAAGAGAGTCTGCAATAAAAACTCACTGAGAATTTTAACTAAGGTCTGAATTAGTCCAAAATATAACATAATACAAGAAAATATAATTTGCATCTATGTGAAGTGCAGTACAGATATTGCATGCATTCATTGGCTTCATAACAATATGCTTACATCCCTATAGAAATCATATTTTACTCTTTTACCAGTGATCTTAGTTCAAGACTGGGCAGACACATTTCAAATTTTTCTGCAAGACTATTCCATTTGTAATCTCTAACATGGTCAAATATTTGTGATTAACTGCTTGCAATCATTATTCAAATTTCATGTTTAAAAGTGATGTCTTGGTTGAAGACGAAGATTTTATTGAATAGGTCCTATTTCATGCTGAACTAAAGTCTCTTTGATGTACTTCAGAATTTAAGTTTCAGTGAATATATTGCCTCATGATCAAAGATTCTGGTAACAGTTATTTCAAATTTTTAAATCACAATGGTTACCACATGTACCGCCTGCTTTAATAATTAGAGACCCTGAATTTTCCCAACCAGTGTATTAATATGTTTTACATGGTTCTAAAAAAAGTTATTATTTCTGTAAATCACATTAACTTTTCGATCTTTATGATGCAGATGCAGCATATTTCTTATGATGTTAGAATGGGATTTATATTTACAATAAATTTTTGTACAAAAGGATATTACATTTCATATAAATTACAATGAACCTTGTTTTCTTCTTTTTTGTTTTTTTTTTTTTTTTGCAAATTTACATAGAAACTTCAAATTTTCATTGGGAAATTGCCACAACAATTTAGTTTACAAGATATATCCGGAAAGGAAAGATACAAGTCCAGTAAAAATGCAAGGGAATTCCCCTCCCCCCACCCAAAAAAGTGGCAGTGCTGCCATGTGAGATAGGGTCCATATGACAGAGCTGAGTTCACCGGCCACAGTCACAGCACAGTTGTGCTTGCAGTATGTGTTTAAAATGGCTGTGTCGATTCAAAATCCCGCCAAATGTGAGGTTCGTGCAGTAATTCAATTTCTTCATGCGAAAGGAGAAACTGCTGCTGAAATTCATTGCCAGCATTTTTTCTGTTTATGGTGAAGATGTTATGAACAGGCAGAACGTGGCAAAATGGTGTTGTGAATTTGAAGCGGGATGAAGTGATGTTTGTGATGAAATGAGGAGTGGAAGGCCATCCGTTTCTGCTCATGAAATCATCCCAAAAAATTATGAAAACATTCGTCGTGACAGATGTTTGACCATCAGTGAACTTCAACAATGTCCAGAAGTGTCAAGAACTGTTACCCATGGCTAAGAGAGCAGGTGAGAGATTTCTACGGTGCTGGAATAAAAAAAAATTGTTCCCAGGTTCACTAAGTGCACTGTGATCCATGGTGACTATGTCAAGAAGTAAATAAAGGTATGTAGTAAAAGTGCTACTAGTGAATCCCTTCAAAAAATATTTTACAAACGATTTCTGGACTTGGTATATTTCCTTTCCGGATAGCCTTCATGTGTGTGTGTGTATGTATGTGTGTGTGTGTGTGTGTGTGTGTGTGTAAATGGAAAGAGTTGATATGAGAAAGTTCTTTCATTTTCATGACCCTGGATCAGTGATTCAGAGAAGAAGGAACCAGTGTTTAGGCAAGATATCTCATTCATAACATGGAAGTGGTTAATCATACCACAAGACTGAGTAAAAATGTTCTGACTGCCATCTGTTACAGGTTGATTGATGATCTTGAGAGCAGTGTGACAGAGGGTGTGTGCAGTGAGATATCGTCAGTTCCAAGAACTGCAGCACAGGTTGGCAGTGAGCCACAGGATCCACAGCTGGGAGCCACATTCAGTGAGGCTGAAGACCATTTGAGAAGTGTGCGGCGGGTCTGGTCACGTGAAGAATTTCTCCATGAGACAGCTGGCATGGGTGGCCCTGATGTGTCCATGAGACCAAGGTCAGTTAAAGTGCCTTAACATATTGTATTGTATTTGTTAGGTACTGCATTTTATATCCTTTCTTATATACTAAAAAAATAATTTATATTTAATACTCATAATTTCCAAGACTTGTTAGGAAGCATTTATGTCTGCCCCAGGCTACAGAAGTGAACTCAGTTAGCTGCCACTATTCTAGATACAGTTGCTTCCTTGACACAGTTTTATTTCATAAATACTGTATCATAGGCACACATTGTTTTGAAAATTTGTGATTTTCATTAATATAATTTGTTTTTAACAGAAGTGAAAAACAATCACAGACTAGCTCTGTAAAATATATATCCACCTTGACATTCAGCAGTAATTAGTTATGAATCCCTGTGATTATGTACATTAATATCTGTTTGGTAACGAGTTATGAATACTCCTCTGAAGTTTACACACTGAGAAGCAGAAACATAGTGTGAAGCTCATGAGATTCCTATTTGACAACTTCTAGTTGTTAAAATTGTATAATAAGAAAAAATTAAAAAAAAAAAATAGGTTAATGATCTATATTATTTTTAATTTACAAGTTAAATACCTTTTCCTATATGGGTAGAAGCTCATGAAGAAAAATAAATGTCATGACTTCATTCCAAGGCAAGTGTTTCATAGAGAAATAAAAACCATTTGTCCCATATTAATTTTAAGGCAGTTCTTGGACTGGGCATTCCCTTAGCCCTGATCCATTGCATAGTCGGTATAGCAACTGGCTATGGGCTGGACGACCAAAGGGTTGGAATTCAAGTCCCAGTGGGGTCAAGAATTTTCTCTTCTCCACGTTGTCCAGACCGCACATGGACAACTGTACCTTACCTCATCTACTTCTTTTTTTGCATAGTAGCTGTTTAATACTAGCACTAAAATTATTTTATTCCCTGCTGTTGTAATATTGCCGTTGAAATTATTGCTAATTGTGTACGTAGTTTAGCACTTACATGGCGTTTCCTATAAACTTTCAGACATATTTAAATTACAGGCTTGTCACTCAATATAAATATGCACACATGCACACACACACACACACACACACACACACACACACATGGACATGTTGGTCTCATCATTGCATTTAATTTTGCACAAAAGGAAAACACAAGAAACCTAAAATGTTTACATGTGCTTTTCTCTAAGTGTAGTTAGTGCTTGTAGTGTAACTGAGAATAATGGATACTTAAACAAAGTGGGAGACACAGATACACCAGAAGATCTGTGAAGACCCAGTATGAGGCCAAGATCTGATTGCCCAGGTCACAGTGGAAGAGAATTGCAACCCATTAAACTACCTTTATATGTGTGACACACAGGCCCTCCGGCCCCTAGGGACTGGCTGCCCATAGTGCTTCCATGATGTTCTTTAAATTAACACATTATGAAAAGGTTTCATCCATCTGTCTAAATGTTACACCTCTGAAACTAATGAATATATTTCAATGAAATTTTGTATTAATAGTGTAGAACAAATGTTCTCAGGTAAGTTTAATTATGAATTATCAGTTCAGCATAATTCTTACTTTACATAAATGTCAAATGAAACCTTTTTCCACAAAAGTGATTCATTGTACAAAAATTATTTGTCTGCCATAAGATTTAGATCTTGTCAAGATATACAACTTCTGGGATGTAACCTGGTAGATAAAATGAGCACATTCACCTGAGGTATTAGCAGACATCTTCCAAACAAGAGAGCATCACATCTCAGAAGACTATCTGAGTAATACACATAGTCAACTCCATTAGAACCTCCTTTATTTGAAACACTTTCCTGTATCACTTTTACTGGCTTTTTGGACTTTGTCCATTGTCCGGTATTCTAAAGAACTAGAGAACACAACGTTTCAGAAGCCAGATTTGTTTCCAGCCTCAGGTGAGGTATGTTGTACACCATCATCAGAACCCTTTTGAATCTATTTTTCAATATGGTGAAAATTTAACAAAATGAGAGGTGTAACATTTCAGTGTCATGTCTGTAGTGTTATTAGGATTGCAACAATAGGTGTGTAAAAAGTAAAAAAAAAAAATAAAGCTATCCCTGTACCAGGTTGTGAAGGCCCATAGGATTGTGAGACGTTGAGGGTCCCACATTATCTAGACAATCAGATCAAAGATGGCAGTAAGGTTGTCAGCCCTACGTGCCAGCTGCGCTTTACTCCCCAGGAAAATTATTTAATTAATTCCTGGTACTCATTTCTGTTAGAGGCTGAGTCGACCCCAGGGCCATAGCAGAGCCAGTGAGGTATGCAAGGTAACTGTGAATGCCTTGTGAAAATGTGTAAACTCTAAATTGGAAAACACTTTTCCAATTTTTAAAACATTATAAATGACATACCGATATTACAGAGATAAGTTAGCGAGGCAGAATAATGAAAGAAATTGCATGTTTCTGATAATAATAACGTGGGTGTTGGGGGGGGGGGCAAAAAGGCGCTGGAGGGAGGAAGGCAAATCAGACTTCTGACTCGATACATTGCTTATAAAAAATAAAAAATTGGAAAAAGAAGCAAATCCATCAAACATTAATACCATAAATTAAAATTATTTTTAAAAGCGTGCTATTTCATCCTGATTAATCTAGCCAAATCACTAAAATTACAATTAAGTGACTTAAACGTAAGTTTGTAAACAAATTTCCTGGTTGCCCCCTTTGAAAAGAATCCTGGTGGCGCCCATGACTGATACCCCCAGAACTGTAAAATATGTCATGACAAGTTTGAGTGTGTTCTTAACCCTACAGTTATCCTCAATCCATGATATGCCATGATACCGACATGAGCACCACATTTCATACAAAAACCTTCCCCCGATACAGGATGCTGACAGGCCACAGAGCAGCCATGTAAGTTTCTACAAGAACATCTATATGTACTGCACACTACACTTCTTAATGGGAGGTTGGTAGGAGTAGCAACGAATTGTTGTTTTACGTAAGATTAATGGAAAGAGAAAATCCTAGCATGTAGGCCTACCTGGAGGTACTGAGTAGACATGCCAGAAACCTTGGTGAGGTTAAACAGCTGCAGAGATAAGTTTCTAAACATCAGTATAATTCATGCTGTTCTCTGTGTAATGAATTTTGCCATATGTTAGAAAAATATGAACTACATGCATATTTTTATCATAAAGTATATACAGATTACCTCTTCATTTTTAGCCTTCTTTCCCTATACTGTAAGAAAGATAGGTTTATGTTACAGCAATGTACACAAATCCGCCAATCTTCTGTCCGTCCCACCCCAATAACTTTAGAAACAACGACACACTTTCATCAGTCCTCTAAGGACATCATACCACTAGATACATCTTTGTACTCCTTGTATCCTGTCAACAATAATACCAACATGTCGGCCATGTGAGAGGAGAGGGTGCATTATACCACATCAGACAGGGTCCTGAAATTTTGTATAGTAATATATCTTTAACAAAATATGCTAATTTTATTGAGGTTTTCTTTTACAAGCAGGACATAAAACAGAAGCATGTCAGTTACATGTGCACTTGATTTAACCTTCCATTTGTTGATGGTATTGTCACGTGTAGGGTGGTAACGTGCAATGAAAATGATGGGTTCTAGTTTGGATGATTGGATTTATTAGCACCTGGGTTACAAGTTCTCTTAATCACAATGAATTACAATGCTTTCGCTGATCTACACACATCCTGGTCTTCTCATGGTACCACAATAAAATGCAGGAACTGTAACAGTCTCACTAAATCTCACACCAAATCTTCACACGCAGACTTCTTATTCTTAATATACTCCTGGTCCCAATTCACTCTGTTCGCGTGCTTCCACGACTACTATTTTTTCATAACTGCCCTTAACAGAACTCTGTCACTCAGAACTTGCAACCGAACTGTAGCACCATTTATTTTTAAGATAACTCCTTTCCACCGACCCTGCAGAAAACACAGCCTCTATTATTGAATCGTGTTTACAGAACCATTGCATAGCTATGGTTGTGGCACAGACCCCCATAGAAAACAGTCTCTCTATTGTTGAGTTAGTTTACCTAGCCATTGCTTAGCAATGCTGTGGCAATCCACGTTACAATATAAACAATGAAACACTGGATGTAGGCATGTAAAATTGTGTATGAAGACATCACAAACACAACTGCTTATACTGTATGAATCAGTTTTTATTAGTTAACACAATGAACATAATAGGTTATACCAGACCAATGTGGGGGATTCTGTAAAGAAATAATTCAAATAATTATGTCTTTCTAATTCTTGCTATCTTCACCATATAGAATGAACCACCCAAAGGACAGTGGAAATTGTAATGTCACATGATAATGACTACACAACAGGTTCAGTTTGGAAATGGATATATTTAGCACTACTTCCTCCTATATGTAACTGTTCCAGGCACTCACATTCATTAATGATTAGATGCTTAGCTCCCATAGCTTGATTCCTCAGCAGTCCATCATGGCAGACTCTGTTATTGCAGGCTTCTGTTCTGGATCTGCGGACTGCCTAAGTAATGCTGCCTCCAGCAACTTCTGACTGCTGCACACATAGTGACTGCAATGCCTAAGATAGCACCTTGATTGCTACATGCAAATTACTGCTATGGATACATGTTTACCATTGCATTGCATAGTAATGGTTGTCTCTGTATTTCTACAATTCTAGTGTTCAGAAGTTTCTGGATTTTAGACATCCTGTCACATTGTTCCCTCCTTAAGCCTGCTGCCAAGATGCTAGTCCATTCAAGTGTGCTGCCAACATATCTGCTCCAAAGGGGCCTTCTGCAATGTCCATGGCCATCCTTGCAAATTTTATTCCAGTCTAACACTAGTGTGTTAGGTTGGGGCTCTGTGATCAGTAACGCCATTCCATTCTCTGTGTTGACCATCGCCCACTTCCTGTGGAATCCATCCCGTGTCATGATGATCCACCTGCTCTGCCTACAAGGTCCTGTAGAGAGCTCACCTCTGATGATGTGTTTCCTCCCATGGTCCTCTGCCATCCTAGTAGGTGCCCCATTTGGAGGTTATGCTTGTATTCTTGCTCAAAACACTCCTTCTTGGGCAGCAACTCTTGGACTTAGCTCCACTTGGATATCTTTCGCCTTTAGGGGGCCATCCCATCACGCAGTCATGACCTCACTGCTGGCTGTAGCATGCACAAAATTTAAATCATTATAACGGTTTTTCCAAAATTTCGCATTTTTCATTTAATCAGGTTCATCCTAGCACCAGTGTTCACATCATTTCAAGTAACATCCTTGCATTATACTGACTCCCAGTGAATGCCCATAATTTGATCCCAGAAGCCACCAAACTTTATACTTAAGTGAACAGTACTCATTGAATAATGTGGAATCTTGAATACATACTTCACAAGAATCAGCAGACTGTTTACAAATCTCTTCCAACTCTCACAAGTCTCAGGTCAGACAGTGTGAAATTTATCGTATAAGGATAAGTTTTATTTCCATGGAGACTTGCCCCTTTAAAAAAAAATTCTGGTCTTCCCAGTTCTTTACAGTATTGATGACAGAATATCCTAGAGCAAAATTAAGACCAGTGGAAAGAAAGTGTTACTGTTTCTAGCCAATTGTAAACTACGGGAAAAGCATCGGATAACTTGTTATGTATACTGGCCATACTAGACATTTCATACTATCTAAAGTTTGTGACGATGATCTGTTAACAAAATTATTAACTTTTTGGGCATTATCTGCTGTCCTGCTTTTTATTTAAAAACAGCATTTCTGAGACTGGACTATGCCTCTGTCCTCAAGTGAAAACCTACTCATATGGGCCCTATCTTCAGACCCAGTCTCCAAAACATTGTTTTTTAGTGAAAAAGAGGATGATGGATAATGTCCAACAAGTAAAAAATTTTGTTAAACGCTTCATTCGTGCATAATTTTATTACTCTAACCAGTTTCTTGGGTATTCTGAATTCAAATAAAATATTATGTAGTACTTCTTTCCTGAATGAATTGTTGGATTTTTAATTTCAAAAATAAGTAATGTACTAATCCAGTGAAAATTTCTACATTATATTACTGCTGTATATATTTCGAACAATAACAGCAGTATTAGCTCTTGTGGTTAATATATGTGAAAATAAATACTAAATCAGCAGAAAAGAAATTTCTGCAACCTTTAGAAAGTACAGAATTATTGGCCTAGATCACTAATGATATTCAAACATCAAAGAAAAATTAATAGGCCTAAACATTACTTTTTACATAAAGAAAAAACAAACAAAACAATTAGCTACAACACCTGTACAGAATGAAGGGAATATACTATCAAAGCAGGGACTATATGCCACTGAGCTAAAGAGGTCTTGAATGCCCAAAGAAAATAAGTATTGTAAGCATTCAGGAAGAGGTAGTTAAGCCTAATCCCACACAGTTCATGGTAATGGAAATGAATACCAAGGTTTCATGTCCTCATACCTTCAGTAGCATCCCTATTAATAACTGTTCTTGGCCCATGGATAATGTTGCCACTAACAGTGTTATCAACTCCAGTGCACTTCTTATATTGCTGAAATTACATGGTTTCTTTGATTTGTATGTAAGATCATTAACATCTAAAAACCTTCATCTGTTTCTGTGCATCATCTATTTTACTCTAATTTGTCCCATTCTTTTGTTGTATGTCATCAGTCCAGTGGTATGTAGTTGTGGATCTGTGATCCACATATGCAACAGATTTGAAATTTGACCATTGGAACAATATGTGGTGTATGGCTCTGAGGGCCAGAGTAGGATGATGGTAGGAATCAGCATTTTATTTGGTGCAGTATTATGATAAGCAGCAGAGTTAACTGGGCACAGAATGAATTAAGAAATTTTTTAACGTGGGATTTGAACCACAGTGAGGGCCTGGTCATCGACAGAGAAGGGAAGAGGATGTGGGAACATCCCACATTATCACGCATTTCTGCAACGCTCGCTCTTCACATCACTTTTCACCATCACGCGCGCTAACCAATCAGATTGCTTCAAACGATCGCATTTATACTACGCTCGGCGATAGACCGCGTCTACACCATTACGCGCGCTAGCCAATCAATTCTTGCTCCTCACTTTCGAGTTTGGCTCCGCCCCACCGACCAGCATATAAAAAGGAGCGACCCCAGAGTCGAGTTATGCAGTTCCATTCAGTTCATCATCAGTCTACGAGCTAGCCGCATCAAGCAACTTCAGCCAGCAGGCTTCGTCGCCAGCGCTCGGTCTTCGGAAACATCGGCAGGCTGCGCCAGGCACGACTGCCTCGGCCCTCCAGCGCTCTCACACCCGACTCACTGGGGCACCGCGCCTGGACTCGCCGGTGGTCGTGTTACGGTCTGACTCACTGGGCATCTGGCGTAGCCACTGCCTCATGGCTCCTACGACCGCGCTCAACGACTTGCCTTTTCACTAGCCATTCACCGTAACTAGCCTTTCTCCTTACCGGCGCGCGCCGCGCTACCTCACCGATCAGTCATCTCAGCAACCACGGTCCTTTTCAGGGCCAACAAACTGTTCCGAAGAAGTGGGTTGTCACAGGAGTATGACAAGACTACACACATCGACAAGAGAGAGTACACCCACAAGGAAGGCAACTGGGAAACCTGCACTAGATATATCATGTCTCAAAACATGAGACCTTTTGCATGGACAGCCCATCCCTAGACCACTTAATGGGTCCTGGTCTATATGAGCTTGTTTTTAATTGAACCATGGTCTCACTTCTCTTCATACAGGACTAGGTTTGGCCTTCTTTCTCATGATACCTCACGTTCATCTCATCTCTAGCTGCTAATCCTTTTGCAGTATTTCCCTTTTGAAGATGCAAGTTTGTATGTGTGCGCGTGTATGTATGTTTGTCATGTATCTGTATATTGTTGTTGTTGTTGTTGTTGTTGTTGCTGCTGTTGTGGTTTTGAACTATGTGGGAACATGGTTTAACAATATGAAGTAATGATTTCAAGCAAGTAGCATGAAGCTGGTGCAATACCACTCTAACTTTCCGAGAGTACATCTCTTCTTAGACACATACATTACTTGGAGCTGGACCATACCATTTTTTAATATGTTCTTTGAACAGAATCCATAAAGTGAACACACATGAGGAGTCTTTGTCTGCATGTTTCATATCTGAAACCACTCAAAAGACTTCAGTGACATTTGATACGTTTTATCAAAAGCAAAATTTGATTTTTATTTTAACTCGCTATATCATCTACCTTGCACAAAGGTGAACTAAACTTTTGTCAGTTTTCTGAAAAACAGTTCATCATACATCATACAAAGGATGGTTTAAATCTTTAAATTATTTGTACTAATAATTATAACTTCAGTTATAATCTGTAACTTTTACTGGGAATTATTTTGACATTGTGTCTGTTTATCCAGAAAAAAATTGAAAAATTGTGCACTGCTTTGCAATAGACACATCTCTGTATGTCAGTAGTTTTTAGTGGCCATTTCTCTTCAAGAGGTGAAGAAAACAAATATGAAATGTTAATGATTTTGTGTCATTTCTGAATTAGAGTCACTATGCCATATACATTTACCTACTCATGGTGCCTTGTATCTTGAATGTTAATGACACATTAGAAAAATATTACATTCCTCTATTCCTTGATTTGTTTTATAAATCTTTAACACTAATTTCTTCCATGAAAGTTCAGCACAGGTTGGTTATTTGAAATAAACTGCTCTGTATTTGTGGTGAACTGAAAGATGAATGACATACAACAAACATTTTTGAAAAATGATGTGTACTCATTGGACTAGATCCAGCTTTCAGAACAAATGGGAATTTGTTATGAGAGAGAACTTACTATATATGACAGACCCCAGCTGTTTGGAGTATATTCACTGGGTGCATTCTGTGAATCTCAAACAAAACAGTGGGATCAAATCCTTCACCAATTCACAGTCGCTTGTTGGGATTAATGTTTGATATCTGGGTGACGACATGGGGTTTTGGTAGCATGGGTTACCAAAGTTTTGATTTCTCCTGCCTTCAAAATGGAGACTAAATTTCTCTTACATATTAGGAACAGTCCATCTCATAAGTGGCATTATTTTCCAACAAGGAATTGTGGAAGAGTTTATGGTTCTTATTTTATTTCAAATGCATCAATCTATATGACAAGGCAAAGATAAACTACAAATGAATAATTACTAATTATACATGAAATTGTCCTGATAAACTCACACCTCCAACAAATTGAGAATTGTTAATATATAGAAAACGCTTCAAGCACAGTTAATAGGGATGTTTATGACTTGTCTCTATACAGAATTTCACATTATTGTTATGATTATTGTAATTACTATTACTACTATCATCATCATCGTAATCATAATCAAACTAAAAACAAAAGAGGACATGGATTTTTGTGACCTTCATGTTATTGTTTTACGTTTTACAAGTAACTGCAAGAACTGTATTGTTTTCAAAGGTCTACAAGTAATATCGCACATTTCAGGATGCTTTGATAGTGTGCCAGTAGTGGAAACTACTGCCTCTCTCATACAAGGCTTGTGGCCACCATATTAGTATTTCTTAGGGCTACAGAGTCACGGTGGCATATAGTGGCATGATGTTAAACTCGGTTTCATGACAACCTAACAGTGTTCACAGGGGCAGATGTATGGATGTGATTATGGTATAATATACTTTTCCTTATGAAACAAGAACAGTAGGCTAAAAATGGAATCTAACTCTAATACAGAATGATGTTTAAATAGTGAAATACATTACATTAGGTGTGCTTCCATGCTTGTATTTCAGGCACAAGGATCGAGATCGTGGAAGGGACCGTTCCTCTAAAAAACGCTGGAGAGAAGAGTCCAGTTCCAGAAGAAAAATTGAATCTGATGGAGGGATGGAGTTCCCCAAAACAGCATTCAACATTACAACATCTGCGTCAGCTTCCCAAATTTCAATGTCAGGTCATCAGAAGGGCATCCTGTCACAACAGCAAATTGAAACAGCAACTAAAATGCGGTCAGCTTCAATTGATGGTGGCAATACTGTACCGGCTCCTGCAGAGCAAAGAAATCTTTTAGAACGAGGGTATGATGATGAAAACAATGATGAGAATTCCAGAAGACAGTCATCCCCGCTTCTCTCAGATAGTGAGAGCGGGGGAGGAGGTGTCATAACAGCCAGTCTCAAGATTCCAGTGCCTGCCGGAACGAGCGGCACGTCATTTGCACTGAATCTAGATGATGCAGATATTCCTTATATTGAAGATGGCGGAGGTGGGGGCTTCAGCGTCACCGCAGAGGGTGGACGTCAACATATGACAATAGGTAAATAGCATTTAGAACTACAAAACAAATTCTTAAAATGATACAGAATATTATATTTAACTGTTCACACAGTATTGTCAAAGTGATTTAATCAAGGAGGACAAGATGACCAGGACATATACACGTGTAGTAGACGTGGGACAGCCGAACACTGTGTATATATGCGTGCATGCATGAGTGTGTGCGCACACATCTGCATATAAATGCGTGATATAGGAATACATGAGAGAATAATATTAAATTAGATATTAAAAATATAGTGACATAATGTAAATCTGATTGAGTTGGTTCACAATACGATCCAATTGTGGGCCTTTGTGAACATGGCAATGCACCATAAAACTGGGGAATTTCTTGACCACCTGAACAAAAGTCAATTTCCAAACTCCCTCACATGTGCTGCAAATTCCATTCTCCATTTCTGATCCCCTTAATATTTACTGAAGAGTACAAATCACAAATGTCTCACTAGTTATTTTCTACAAAAAATTCACCAACACACTGTGTTAATACAAGAAACCAGAATAATCTTCATCAGCCAATTACAAACCTCACTTGCTTGCAAAAAGTGCATTTTATGTTGGTAATTTTTTTATGAATGTAAAGTAAAAAAAAAATGTAAAGCTATCCCTGTAACAGGCCAAGGAGGCCCATTGGGTTGTAAGATGTTGAGGCTCCTACATTTTCTAGACAGTCGACTCACAGATGCACTGGCCATCCTTTACTCCAGGAGGCTTCCTGGTACTCATTTCTGTTGAACGAGTCGACCCAAGGGCCATAGCATGGCTGGAAAGATTGCGTCATTTAAAAACTGCAATTACCTCATCAGGAATCAAACCCACGACCTTCTGGCTTGTAGAATACATTATTATATATTATCAGCAATAGAAATGAGGAGGGATAATTTAAAGTTTCATTGAAAAGGCATTTAAATGCACAGTCCTTTTGTTTTTTCGATGATTTTTCAAGTTTTCTATTAATTTTTATTCATCAGGTACTTACAGATGTGGACACATTGTGCAAACCTGACTTCTTTCTGTGTCAACTGACATTTGCTTCCTTTTTTCTGCCATATCGCTTTTCATGAACATACCTGCAATACATCTTCCTCCATGTGTCCCATCTCTCGCACTCTGTCTATCTGTCTCTGTCTCTCACCCTCTCCATGCACATCTATCTCAGTGTTTATGTCTCTCTTATTCGCTGTGTGCGTACACCTCTCTGCTCTTGCATCTCTCCTGTGTGCATGCATGTCTTTATATCTCTCTGTGCCCAGTTTCTGTGTGAGTTTGTGTATGTGTGAATGTGCTTGCATTACTGCGTGTTTCCGTGTACCTATGCAGATGTGCTTGTGTGCAGATCTGTGTTCATGCGCATCCATGTGTGTGTTTGTGCTTGCACAGATATCCAGTACACTAAATTGATCTAACAGCTATAATGTGGAACAGAATGTTTACCCCTTTACCACATCTAATGTAACATAACTAAAGTCTTCTGTCACTTTAGCATACTAACACACCATATTTAAATTTGAATACGTACTCTGAACATGAAATTTTTATGGAGTGATATAGGGTTAGCACATTTCAATCCCCAGTATTTCCCCAAACAGGTCCAATGATTTTTAACAGCAACAGGTTTTTAATCTTGTTATAATTGCAGGTCTTGTGCGATGTACAGGCTCGAGAGAAGGGACCAACAATGCTATACAACACAGACGGCAGCGTTCAGCCAGTGGTAGTGATTCATCTCAAGCCTCGACCACTGTTCATCCACCTGGAAACCTGACAGCATTGTTCCACCAACAACAGGGCTGTGATTCAGCGTTAGGTTCAACTGCCACTTTCAGCAGTCCGCCTCACAACACAACACCTTCCATATGCAGCAGTGATGCAGGGCATTTCAGTTCTCCTCCCTCTTGGGCATCAACCCCACCAACATCGCCTGATGCAACTGGTACAACGGTAAACTTCATACCTGAAGAACTTACAGCTAGAATTCAACAGCATCACTCACAGACAGCAAGAGTCCCTCTTTCAGCTTCATCGAAAGGAATATCAACGCAGATATCACCAGATCAGGCCGGTCTTCAAAAGATGTCCAAAGAAGTGACACCTGTGATTCTGCAAAAGGTAACAATCACTTCAACAAGTGAACTGCACCAGGTACAGAGAGGTGATGCTGCAAATGATAGGCAACCTGATATTCGAGGTTCAAAGTTAGCAATTCACAAAGTGCAAACCACAACAGGAGAACTACCGAAGAGTGCCAGCACTTCTGCAGTTGTCAGTAGCCTTAAAAAGTCTGTAGAGTTTGAATCAGAACCAATAGGAAGTGACAGAAAACTTACAACAAGTATATCCAGTATTGGTGGTGCTGTTATGAGGTCAAAGACAGCAGATATTGAGAGAATGCTTAGGATAAAAGGGACTGAAGCTGGTAAAGTTAAGTCTGTAACAACACAGCTGCCTCAGCAAACATCTGTTCCAGATGATAAAAAGAAATATTCAAAACGACGATACACAGATTCTCGGCACCAAACAAGACATATACCAGATGCAGAGGCATTGCAAGAAGCCTCTTCTGGTGGGGAAGGAGGAACAGGGATTAGTGGTGAAGAAGAAGTGGTGACTCGGCAAAGGAAAAGCCAGCAGGGACCTGTGTGGAAAAGACGTGAACTCATTGCAAGTGATCCAAAGGACCACGAAAGTGCACTGTAAACTGAGCATAATTAAATTTCAAAAAATGAAATTCTTGCAAGATCAAGGAACAGAAACACATATATATTCCTGCTTTCAGTGTCTTCAGCTGATTCATGGAATCACATTTAAACTGCACACCTTGACTGTAATAGCATATTGTATATTTCCGGAATTATACAATGATATGGTCTCTGTTTGCTGTCAATATAACGCATCTAGTCTTATCTAGTCTCACAAAATAAAAGAAAAATAAATGAAAGATATTTTCACTCTTTATATTATCCTGTTTATTTCAGTCTACATGTGTAATACCATTAATAACTTTGAAGTGATGAGGCCTATTTCATGAAGAACAGATTAATAAGTTAAAATTTACTTAACTGTGATGATTATTTGGGACTGTAAAAAAACTACTAAGTCATCAACCACTACTTTATTTGTGATGTCAAAATTGATGAAGAAAGTGATATAGTGACCACCATTGCTAAAATATAATTGTGTAAGGAATTTTCTTCTGGTGTTGAAAATAATAAGAAATATATATAGAAGCATTTTGTATGGGCATAATGCATGTATGTCATAATGCATACTGTGCTTAAATAATATTTTCTTGACCTCAGCACTAGTGGTCAGCTTCACGCTCCGGCCGCTTTATTCCCGGAGAAAGAGCCCAGCAACCAATAGTCATGTTGCTGCTTTTCCTAAAGCTTTTAACATGAACAGCCTCATCTGCTAGGTCTTCAAAGTGAAGTACACATGCACTTACACAACAAACTATTTACTAAAACTTCATATCGTACATCCTAGTGCCAATAGTTGACAAGTCAAATTTGTACTGTTTTCTCATTGAATTTAGTCATTTGCTGCACTATTTTAATTCACATATCTTGGCATGATCAGGTCAGTTAATTTATAAGCCCCTTATTCATGATGACATAATTCAGCAAGATGCATTTAATTCTATTGCGAGTACTACGTTATGAACAATAGAATAATCAAACTGATTTCTAAAATATTATCTTATTTAATTTCTTTATATAAGTACTTCATAAAGTTTCTTCCTAAATGTCACATACAATTAATGAATGACAAGTAAGTTGCTATATTTTACTGTGCTTACCATAGCCGGATAGGGATCAATCTTCATACAAAATACTGTTAACATGTCATCTGAACTGACAAAATTCCCTTGATCCTATCAATATGTGAATTCATAGTGCTGGTAGTTCTGCAAACATAATGATGGTGGTTATAGGGTGAAACAATCTATGATAATCAACTATATAAAATTTGTTTTTGTTTACTATTCACAAGAAACCCAAATGTTATGTCCTTATCTGCAGTTAGTTCAAGTTGGCTGAGAAACAAGCACTGCTTACTCTCAAACTTAAATGGACCTAATACATTTACTGCGTGGGCAATGCCAGATTAACAACGTTTAAAACATTATATAGCTGCATGATGTTACGGGTGGGATGGGGGTGTTCCCACATTTCCATAATCTCATCCCCAGTACCTCCTGCCCTACCCTATAAAATGAATTCTTCAGAGGAGCGATTTGCACAGCCCAATAAGGGAGCTAATAAGAAATTAAGATGCTACATTTTTACTACACTTCGTGGCTTTCCATGAGGTTTTACGCCACAGATGGCGCTATCATTAGATACTACATGCCTTCACAAAATTGTTTCTATTTCTATGCATTGCTGCTCATATACTTGCTTTTGTTAGCTAGGTTTGTAGCAAACATTTCTACCCCCTTTTCTATCCTCGTTCCACGCATGTGAGTGTTTTATCACAGTTTTTATTTTATATTTTCCTGTTAACACGCGCTGAATTAGCTCGGTCTCAAGTGCTTAAATAGCTGCGTGATAGTAAACTTCGGCGTCGATTTAACTTCGTGGCTTTCCATGAGGGTTTAGGCCATACAAATGGCGTTACTATATTTTTGATTTAACTTCGTGGCTTTCCATGAGGTTTTAGGCCACAGATGACGCTACTATATTTTTGATTTAGCTTCGTGGCTTTCCATGAGGTTTTACGCCACAGATGGCGCTACTATATTTTTGATTTAGCTTCGTGGCTTTCCATGAGGTTTTACGCCACAGATGGCGCTACTATATTTTTGATTTAGCTTCGTGGCTTTCCATGAGGTTTTAAAACACAGAGACCGTTATAGTTTTTATTTCATATTTTCTTGTTAATTCGCGCTAAATTAGACTGGTCTCAAGTGATTAAATAGTTGCGTTATAACCGTACGTCCCTCGCTAAAATTATTTAATTGGGTTATAATTTAACATGGTTTTTTGATAGACGACTATCTTTTATTATTTTTATTTCATTGCTTCTGTGGGACTTGTTTGAAAGTTATAGTGAGTGACAGGAAACAGTGGTGTACAGTAGTTGACAAGGGTCGCGGAAGCGATCACGGTATTACCATCAGCGATCGGGTGCGGCGGGGTAGAGAAGAAAGAAGCCGCTGAACAGAGAATTGGATTACAGTCTGTGATGGGTGGACTGTAGTTGCAAGAAAACGCTGAGGAGAGAATTAGGAGGCGGTCGGGGTTAGCGAGTGCATACGGTCGGTAGACTGGAAAAGAATTAGTGACCAGTGCCAAAAAAAGTTAAGAGAGACGGAGAGGCAAGCTTGAAGGACTTATCTAAAGAGTGACAATAAGTGTAAGCAATTTGAATATAAAAGAGTAATACACGATGTGGTTTCTGGAGACCCTGTAAATCATAACCCCTAAATGTGATCTCCTGCCGGTATCCGAAGCCCCTTTATCCCTGAGACAGTGGTTTCATCTCGAGCAATAGTCGTGGCGGCTGTACGTCGGAAGTCGGCTACAGTGAGAAGTGGCGCTTCCAACCTGGGCACGTAACAGCGGAGGAGACCGGGAGTCTGCAAACGGGACATCACGGAAACATCGAGGGAGAAGAGCAACTTCGCGGACTGAAAAAGTGAACAAATATATCGTGCATGGTTAGTTGGACTAAGTTATATTAACAATAAGTGTGAACGAGTTGCGGACAGTAAAACGTGGAAACCCGTAGTAAACTTAAAACTCAGAAGACAATCATAGATAACGAAGAAGAAATCGAAGTGACGGAAGGTATCAGTGACACAGAGAACGGGGGAGAAGGGGAGGAGTAAACGTGATGAGTGGGCAAATAGTAGAGACAGAACCCGAGTTACAGACTCGAAACAAGCAGACGAAAAGTGTAGAAGGGGGGTGGGGAGAAGGATAGTACAATAGACATTTTGTTAACCTTTATCGAAAAACTGGAGAACAGAATGAAGAAAATGGAAAATGACAAGTGAAAACGGGAGTGAAATGGAAAATAATATAAAAGAAATAGGTGAAATGGAAAATAGTATTAAAGAAGACGTGCGTGAAATGCTGGCCGCTTTCACGAGGGACTCGGAATGTAAAATGAACCAACGGATGGAGTCCGTGAATAACGAAGTTAAAGTCCTATCTGAGCGCACACGCGGCCATTTTGGGAACATGACTTCGAGGGTAAGAAGACAAGCATTAATTCCTTTTCGGATTAATGATGACGAGTTGGGAAATAATATTATCTGCACTCGGCTGGTCAGTCCGGGTTTATTGGGAGCTGATTTTTTGTGTGCATATAAATTTTCGATTGATTTTGAGCAAGCTGCATGGCATGGACGGTACCAGGCGAAGAAGTGAGGATAATTAAATACTCATTCGTGCAAAACTGCCAGCCTTTTTGTGGCTTATTGTACCAATCCTAGATGATGGTGATTGTAGAGCAACTGGTGGAACGAGGATTGGCAGGGGAAATCGAAATACTTGGAGCAAATCTGTCCTAGCGCCACTTTGTGTCCACCACAAATACCACGTGACGAGACCTCGGACGCTAGCGCAGGAGTTGTGTACTTCAGAATAAAGGATAATGAGTTCCGTGAGAACAATGCAATGGGGTCGCGGGTGCCATGAAATGGTAATTTCTTCGATCACTGAGCAGCTGTTTGCAGAAAGTCAGCACAATGAACTTGGTCGTGATGTATGCCATCAGTGCAGAATTCCGTACCAAACAGATAATCTTACTTCGAGACTAAGATGTAGTCAAGAGCGTCTGAACGGGCTCTAAATTACGAGAAAGTGACTGGCCAACCGTCAGTCGTAAAATGACTTTGAAACGAAGCAAGTAGTAAAGAGGAATTTTGTAGAAACGAAGCGATAAGATATGTGAAAGACGAAAGGGAGTAGTCATAACCATGGCGGTCCTTTGGTAAGGCACTGGCGTATGGTTCAGAAGTTACGTGGTTGGAAGACACGACTATTTTTATGAAAAAAAGAATGTAAGAAATTTATGCATGCAGGAAGCAAGTGGTACTATATACAAATTTGTATAGATCTGGTGGTACGTGGGTAAGACATTGGCATAGTATTGGGAAGGTACCGGGTTCTAGACCACTGTGTCTTGTCAATAGAAATTGAAAAGTGAATAAATAAATATGATATTTCTGCAGCTATAAACCAAGTCGTAATATAAGGACGATCGCAGACAGCTACACTATACATGATCTGGTGGTCTAGTGGTAAGGCACCGGCGTTGTAAATACAAGGTTAGTGGTTCGAATACAGAAGTATTTTTGTAATGAGATTTTTATGGAATTATATAGCGACATGTAACATAAGAGGAAGATTAAAGATCAAAAATTTCCGCGGCGTCGGTGGCCTATTGGTAAAACACCGGCGTAATGAACAAGAGTTGGAA